CCAGAAGTCACTATCTCAAGTATGCTTCCCCGAGATAGGTACTTGAACGTCGTAAACATGGCCCAACGAAGGCTCAAAAGGGACTGGAATAGAGTGAAGATATTGCCTAACATAGCCCTAGAAGTCACTATCTAAAGGACGTGTCTGCGAGATAGGGACTTGAACGTCGTAATATTGCGTAACATAGCCCTAGAAGGCACTATGTAACGGAAGTGTCTGCGAGATAGGGACTTGAACGTCCGGGTACGTGGCTGGTCAGGAGCAGAGATAAGCAGATTAGGTCCAGGAACGGTAACATTATCTCACGAGCATAGCTCCCATATGGTCGAACATAACCCCAGAAGTCACTATCTCAAGTATGCTTCCCCGAGATAGGTACTTGAACGTCGTAAACATGGCCCAACGGAGGCTCAAAAGGGATTGGAATAGAGTGAAGATAGCCTAACATAGCCCTAGAAGTCACTATCTAAAGGGACTTGAACGTCGTAAAATGGAATAAAAAACACCCCCTAACGTGGCCAAACATAGCTTTCATATTGCCTGACACGTTGGGCCATATTAAATCCCTATCTCGAAACATGGAATCTATGCTCGGCCACGTTGGGGAGGGGGGGGGGCACTTCCGGGGCTATGTTCGGTGGAAATATTGGCCCCTTCCATGCGGTGCGGGCGGTTACCGTCGCGAAGCGACGTGAATATGGGGCACGTGCCGCGGCTACCAACTCTTAAGGGCTGCAACTACTCACACGTAATTTGATTTGTTTCGCGGTGCTTCACCAATGGCCCCTAGAGGCGAATCCATTTAGTTCCTCGTATTCCTTTTTTCCCGCTGGCTTGCAGTCTTTGCGAGGGCAGACAAGGTGAAAAAGAATAAAATAATATTAATATTACTATGGTGTTTTTATTTTTATATAATAAGAATTATTACGATTATAATTATTATTTATATATTCTTAATTTTGTTACTATGTTTATTTCCTCAATAGGCAAACGCGTTTGGCGAATATAAATAATTGTATTTATGTGTATTTTTTGTATGCATCGTGGTAACCATAGATTCATATATATATATAATTATCTAATATTAATATGTCTGAGGGATGCGCCGCGCATCTATAAGAAACGCATTTGGGGAATATATTTGCGGGACGCGTTTAATGACGTTTATATACGAAATCTTATGTTCTTTTCGTTTTTATGTTTTTAGTTATTTTATTGATTGTTTCGTTCTTCTTTAAAATTTGTTGTTTTTCTAAATAGTTTTACGTGGATTTGGTGATGTTTTTTGAATTAACATTCTGTATATATTAATGATATTATGTGGTTTTTATTGAATTATTTTTGTTTTATGGTAATATTTGTTTATATATTGTATTTTTCGTTATTAAATTTATATTTTTTATATTTGTGGAATATTCGGTATATTTTGATATTTTATTGTTTTAAATTTGAATTTTTCATTTATTCCTTTATTCAATTATTATTTATCGTTTTGGAATAGAATATAGCTTTCTTATTATATTTAATATATATTGGTAATCTTATTAATAATACCTTTTCTAATTATATTCTATTTCATAACATTTATATAACTATAATTCTTATAAATATTTTTATTAATATAACTAAAATAATATTAATATCAATAATATTAAAAATCAAATTAATTAGAATATTTAAATTTGTGCAAAAAATATAATCACAATAATATGTAAAGACAACCGCAAAAATTATTCAATATTATATCCTATTAGTATAGTTTAAAATATCCTCAATTAATTATATATATAATTTAAATAATCATAATTAAATAAATATAAATCTATACCATTATAAATCCCAAATAAACTAAGCAATAACAAACATTCCCAAATCCTTTGTTAAAAATATCAACAAAAAACAAATAAAATAGATAATAAATCTAGGAAATAAATTAATAAAATTACTACATAATCAATAAAAAAAATATAAATACCAACAATAACCGACCTAAAAAACAAATAAGTATATATACTATATAATATCGTGTTCAAAATTGCATTATTTAATATAATGCGTGTGAATCGATGTCACTTTGGTGTCAATTGCGTGAGACATGGACATAGCAGACTTTAAGTGCTGTGCAGCTTCGTTCGACCGAAGCCCATTCGAGCATCAGACCGCTCGAGGGGCGCATGTGTGCGGAAAAGCACGAGGGAGTCGCGGTCTTCCGTTGCCACTGTGTGTAATACACAGTGGTAGCGGAGCCGGACATGAGCGGCAGCGCCGAAGCTCCTGGGACGGAAGAGTCGTTCCAGCCATGGCGGGATAAGGATCCCCCTCCGGGATTCGACGGTGACGTCGAGAAGTTCAAGGGTTACTTGAGAGAGTTGAAGATGTGGCGGCATGAAACTGATGTTCCCCCGAAGAAGCACGCCGTTAAGATGCTAAGGGCTCTCACTGGTCCAGCAAAGGCAGTGTGCAATGAGCTGGAGGTCGAAGCCTTGCTCACTGAGGCTGGTGCCGATGCGATTGTCAACAAGTTGAAGGAGTATTACCAACCGCATCTTGAAATTGCCATGCCTCGCGCGTTCGAGCGAGCTGTTTACGGTGAGGCCAGGCGAAACAAGGAGAGTTTTGGAGAGTTCATTGTTCGCCAAGACGCCCTGTTTAGAGAACTGCGTGAAGAGGGAGTCACATTAGATGACACTGTTCGTGGGTACATCATGTTCAGGCAGGCCAACTTGTCCCAGACGCAGGAAGATCAGATCACCACCTGGACTCAGGGCAAATTCGATCGGCCTGCAGTCATGGCAGCTCTCCGGAAGCTGGAGAAAGTGCAGAGAGAGAAGAGTGGACAGAAGCACTATCTCACAGCGGATGACGAGCAGGCTGAGTATGTGGAGTCAGAAGATGATGGCGACTTCATATACTTGGGTGAAGCTGACCTGGATCAGGTGTTTGAAGAAGAGGAGCTGACTGAAGCCTTGGCCACCTACCAGCAGGTTCGACAAGCCATTCGAGAGCAGCGCAATGGTCGTGGCTATTATCAGCCGAAGGGACTTGGCAAACAGCCGGTTGGTCGCTTTGGCAAGGGCTCCAAGTCGGGTCAGCAATCCATCAAGTTCGGCGGAAAGGGGACAAAGGTCCACATCGATGTTTTGAAGCTGCGCACTCGATGCGCCCGTTGTGGCCAGATTGGTCATTGGGCGAAGGAGTGCACCAATGAGCCGGACGCAAAAGGGAAAAGCAGAGCGCCATCGGAGGGAACCAGTCCGAAGTCAGGGTTCTTCGAGGCCGGCATGATCGATGGGGAGGGCAGCCACAACACGTTTCAGGTCACCCTTGGACAATGTTTGGCCAAAGCACGAGCAGATCGGCCGAGAACCACCACCTTTTTCGGGCATCACCACTAGTGGGTCCTTGGGCATCATAGACACAGCGGCACAAGGTGGTCTCATTGGTCGCCCAGCACTTCGTCGGTTAGAAGACTCGTTGAGAGCACATGGACTCAAGGTGGTTTGGAATGGGAAGCAGGCTCAGGCCAAGGGCATCGGAGGTGACGCCAAGGTGTGTGGGGTCGTCGAGATTCCGGTCGGCATTGGCGGTGTCAATGGCCTGATTGAGGCCACAGTGGTGGAGGACGAAGTGCCATTCCTCTTGTCGATCCAGTTCCTCAAACAGGTTGGGGCCATTGTCAATTTGCAAGAGAGTTCATTAGCACTCACAGCATTCGGCAAGAGCAGTTCCATTCACCACATGCCATCCGGTCATGTTGCTGTGCAAGTTTTGGATTTTCATGAACAAGGGTGGCAGCTTCCTGATTTGGCTGTCGAGCAAAGCCGGAAAGAGAAATCATTTCGATTTTTGACAGCTGTCTCCGCTCAGAACGTGACGTTCATGTGGAGGAAGTGCAACCGCCTCTCTGGCGCTCGCTATGGACCTCATTGCTCGTCTTCGCCAACTGGATCAAGAGAAGACCGAAGAATGGGAGAAAGTCTCCACAGTGGATCCCAGGCGGGCAGAGAGAGCTGTCCGCAATTGGCGAGTGATGGTCGAGCATGTGTCCGACCTGATGGAGTTCGTAAGGGCTCGAGAAAAGCTGGTCGCTTGGCAGCCTGTTGGATTGGTGCATGGCTTGCCGCCGTGTTCTTCATTTACCCAGCTGGCCTCGGGATCAGAACCTTTCTCGTGCATGGCAGGAGCTACCCCATCGCAAATCACCAAGGCCAGCATCTATGCAGAGCTGATTCAACTGGGCGAGTTCCTGGGTCAGAGGAGGAGCAAGGAATCCCCGAGCTGCCACTTCAAGGCGTGCAGTCATCCCATCGCTGCATTGGCGGGAGCCGGCAATCAAGTGCAGAGAGAAGTGTGGTGCAGGAAGTGCCATGCCAGGTGAGCGGTGGATGCCAGGGTGATGGAGGAAATTGCAAGCAAGAAGAAGGCGATCCATGTCAACGGCAAGATCTTCCACCTGGGGACCAGCATGTCCACGACAGTGGAGGCGAAAGAGACGCCACCAGGCACTCCGGTCAAGACACCATCGGCCAAGAGAGCCATCAAATGGCCTACCACGCCGGGATCCCCGTTGACGCCACCTCGGAATGCAGAGCAGCTCACAACACCCAAGACAGCAGTCTTGGAATGCCATTGCCGAGCTCCAGCAGTTCAGCTGATTGTGAAAAAGGAGGGTCCGACACAGGGCCGATTGTTCTGGAAGTGCGCTCGAAGGGTGTGCAATTTCTTCGAGTGGGATCCTCAGGAGGTCCAAGAAATCCAGAGGAGGATGCTTCAAGAGCAGGAGGACGCAGAGGTGAAGCGGTGGGAAGAGCAGGAGGAGGCAGAACGTCAGGAACTGGTGCGCAAGACGATGGAAATGGCGGAGGTCAGGCACCAGGAGGTCATGAATGCAGCGAGGAGCCAATACAGCTTGGAGGTGGAGACGCTCAAGAACCAGCTGCTGTGGATGTCCGCGGTTGCGGGCGAGGCCAGGATGGAGGAGGTCTTCAAGAGCCCAGTGCTTCAGCAAGAGATGATGAGCAAAGCCATGGCCATGAAGGAGGAGCTTGCGAACCAGGAGCTTGAGGCACAGGAGGCAATGCAGATCCAGGGCTACACCAGTGGCAGCGGCCCACAGGCATTCATGCCACAATGAGCAAGCAAGAGATGGAGTCCGCTTTGGAAGAAGACGCCCCTCGGGTGGTCCAACTGCAAGATGAAGATCGTTGGAAACTGTGGTGTAGGATGCAGTTGGAAGACAGTGCAAAGGACAACTATGAGCGGCAGGTCGCCGACGGATTTTGGGTGCAGGAGGAGGATGGCACCTGGATGTTTCACTCAGGCATTTTGCCGGAATTCCATGAGGGCATGGTCGCAGTAGTGGCTTTTGAGGAGATGTACTTCCGAGACCAAGATCAACAACCAGAGGAAGAAAGACCACTGTCCAAGTCATCGAGAAAGGCAGTCAACAAGAACATGAAGCAGTTGATTGTCTCCGAGGTGTTCTCACCACCAAGGGTGAGTCAGTTGGCTGAACAGAAAGGTCACCTGAGCGGGGGAGCCTTTAACCTCGTCACGGGCTACAACTTATCCACCCAAGCCGATCGTCGGCGGTGCTGGCAAAAGTTGAAGGAGGCAAACCCGGACATTGTGGTGGTGAGCCCTCCATGCAGCTCTTTTTCCATACTACAGAGTTTGAATCTTCGGCATCAGGGGATCAAGACAGCATTACGACTGGCCGAGGGACGAGAACATTTGCAGTTTGCAATGGAGGTGTTCCGCTGGCAGACACTGCGGAAGAAGATCGCCATCTTTGAACACCCTGCTACATCCAAGGCCTGGCAAGAAGCATGTGTTCAAGAAGTGATGAAGATCCCTGGGGTCCGCAGGGTTCGAGCAGATCAATGCCAGTACGGATTAGCCGTCCAAGGAGAAGCTCTCAACAAGAAGCCCACAGACTTTCTCACCAACGGTGAAAACACCGCCCTTGCATTGAGCCGTCGGTGTCCAGGAGGACACGAACACGTGCCCTTGATCGGAGGTATTGCCAAGTTTGCCCAGAGATATCCCAGAGGACTATGTTCCGCAATGCTCAATGGAGGAATCAAGGACGTGCTCCAAGATCTACGTGTGGGCAACAGGCACGGAGGAGGAGAGCAAGGCGGCAGAAGAAGACATTGAGGAGTTGCTGAGACAACATGAGGAGAGAGAGGGAGCTTCTGGGGTCGCACGGTCAGCTCAAGTGCGTCGATCGTTGGCCGAAGAAGACAGCCTTGAGAAAAAGGAGACAGAAGAACCAGATCACATGCAAGGAAGTTTGACGGCAGAAGATAGACGGTTGATCCAGAAACTGCATGTGAACCTTGGTCATCCCAGCAACTATGAGCTCAGCAAAGCGCTACGACTTGCAAGAGCACGGAATGCCGTGTGGAGGTTCGTGAAGGATGACTTCCGATGCGACATCTGTGAAAGGAACCGAAAGCCCAAGAGCGCCAGGCCGGCGCTACTTCCCAAGACTTTTGAACCATGCCGAACTGTTGGCTTGGATGTCGTGTACTTCCCCGCCCTAGACGTGCGACAAGTGAGGCCCGTTTTGAACATGCTGGACTGGGCTACAGGATATCAGATGCTGGAACCTCTCGAGAACACGCAGTCAAGCCACATCTGGGAGAAGTTCTATGGCACGTGGGTGCGCACTTTCAGCGTGCCAGAGGTGGTGATCACGGATCAGGGCAGGGAATTCGGAAAAGAACTAGCAGAGAAGGTGTCTGAAGCTGGTGCCATTCACAAGGTGATTGGCGCAAGAGCTCCATGGCAACAAGGAAGAACCGAACGACATGGAGGAGTGGCGAAGGAGGTGTTCATCAAGCTGAGGGAAACCATATTTCCTACCAGCGACAGTGAGTGGAGGATGTGTGTGCACTCAGTGGAGGCGGCCAAGAATCGTCTCTTCAATCGCTCAGGTTTCAGCCCAGCACAAAGGCAGTTCGGCTACAACATGAGACTCCCTGGCTCCCTGGGTTCGGATGATGTCTATGCTCCAGAGCTATTGATACAATCAACCTCAGATGACATGCGAAGAACTATGGAGATCCGGAACACTGCCATGCAGGAGTATCTCAAGTATGTCACCTCCCGGGCAGTGGCTAAGGCTCGCCTGGCTCGAGGACGAGGCACTCAGGAGTTTAAGATTGGTGACGTGATCTACGTGTTCCGAGTTCCCCTGCAAAGGAAAAGAATGAAGAGTGAAGTTGACTTCGAGGACAAAGAGGGGCGCAAGGCCACCTGGGTAGGACCCGGAGTAGTGGTCATGGTGGAGGGAGCCAATGCATGGTTATCGATTCGTGGAGAGCTGTGGAAATGCGCCTTGGAGCAGCTTCGACATGCCACCCCAGAGGAGAAGGAGGCGCGATCACTGCTGGAGGAAGATTTTGAAGAGCTAAGAGTGGGGATGACACGGAAGGCAAGCAAGAGAGGTTTCAAAGACATCACGCAATGGGAGAGGCCTCCGTTGATGATGGATGATGACGATGAGGAGGAGCGTCCCAGACAGAGACCACGTCTGGGCATTGAGATTGAACCAGAGGCTGAGGAAGGAAGGCCTAGTAATGACTACACTCCGTCCAGCGGGATACGTGTAGAGGAACCTTCAGAAGAGCCAGAGGTGATGGAACAAGCCATAGAATCTACACGACTATGTGAGCAACTGGATGGAACCTTGCAACGAAGACCTCCGGAGGAGCTTTATGGACCCACCAGAAGACATGTGAAGGAGCGCTGGAAGCCATATCAAGGAGGAGCCACCATGGCACCCCAAGAGGAGCTCGAAGATGACGATGAAGAGCACCAGGAGGAGGATTTGTGGATCTATGACCCAGAGAGGAACTGCATCATCAGGAAGCACAACCAAGAAAGAGGAGTGCATTTCACGCCGAGCCAGAGCAGAGGATGTCCCGTGTCCCTGAAGTATCTCACTTCCCAGAGGAGGACGGTGAAGTGCTTTGGAGATGGAAGTCAACAAGAGGAGAAAGAAAATTGGAGGGACACTTCAAAGACTCGTGAACGAAGAAGCTCAAAGGGGCCCAGCCGGTGGTGGGTCGGATACACCGAGTTCACCCTGAGAAGGCTGCCACCTGAGTCCGAGCTGTCACTGATGGTGAAAAGAGGGTCAGATGAGGTAAGAGAGGAAGATATCCCAGCTGAGGAGTGGGATCAATGGCACATTGCAGATGGTGCCGAATGGAGCAAAGTGGCAGCAACTGGAGCAGTGAAGGCACTCTCACCCGAAGAGTCAAGAGAGGTGACGACTCAACTCAGTGAAGCAGGTCTCATTGCAAGAGTCCTACCTTCTAGGATGGTGAGAAGATGGAAGCCATCAGAGCAGCCTGGAGTGCCTCCAGCCCGGAAGTCCCGATGGTGTGTGAGAGGAGATCATGATCCTGATCTATTACAATTGGATCGCCATGCTCCCACGGTGACAACGGCAACTCTGTCGGTAGTGTTGCAGATAGCTGCCAGTCTTCAGTGGAAAGCAGCAGTTGGTGACCTGAAGAACGCCTTCATGCAATCAGACAAGCTCGTGAGACCAGCCGGACGACTGTTCTGTCGACAACCAAGAGGTGGCTTGCCAGGTTTGGAGAAGGAACAACTCATCGAGATCCTGGCCGGCGCCTACGGCCTCGGAGATGCGCCAGCTCACTGGAGAAAGAGTCTAAAGAAGGCCCTGTTCCAGTGCGGTTTCCAGCAGTCAAGCATGGACCCTTGCGTCTTCAAGAGCTTCAAGGATGGAGTGCTCAGAGGGCTTTTGGTGGTGGAAGTGGATGATCTGTTTGGGACAGGTGACGAACACTTCTTTTCACAAATGAAGATGTTGAGGCAACGCTTCGACTTTGGCAAGTTCGTGCAGGTGGATGAGGAGGCTGAAGGAGTTGGCTTCAATGGCCGGAGGATCAAGCATAAGGGAAGAACCTTCATGGTGGACATGGAGAAGTTTGTGTCCGAACGCCTGCAGACGATCAAATTGGAAGTGGGAAGAGCCACCAAATCCAAGGAGGATGCGACCCCGGAAGAGAAGGAAGCTACCCGGGCCGCAGTTAGAAGCCTGACTTGGGCAACAAAAGAAGGGCGTCCAGACGCCGTAGCTGCGGCTAGCTTGATTGCGTCCAGCATGAGCGAGCTGAAAGTGCAGGACATACTGGATTTGAACAAGGCCATCAACCAGGTGAGGGAGAACTCTAAACTGGCTTTGAAGATTCAAGGAATCCCGTTGTTCGAGCTCAGCTGGGGCGTGGTGACCGATGCTAGTTACGCCAATGTCAGCAAGGGGGGGGGAAATCCCAAGGTGCATACGCCGTGTTGGCGATGGATACGCCGTGTTGGCGATGGAGAAGAAGATCCTGGAGACAGGAGTTGGCCGGTGCAATATATTGCACTGGAGAAGTGGAAAGATCCGGAAAGATCCATCGAGTAGTGAATTCAACATTGGCCGCAAAGACTCAAGCCCTCTCCAGAAGCCTGTCCGAATTTTCCTGGACCGAATTTTCCTGGACCGTAACTGTGTTCAATGAGTTCACCCATGATGGTTTTGACATGAAGAAGTGGGAAAAGTCCCTTCGCCGTCAACGACTGAGCGCATTGGTTTCTGAGAACAGTGAACGTGAGCTTGCACGGAATCTCAGTATAATAAATGCCAACTCCTTGTTCGATCATTTGTCCCGTGAAATGGTCGGAACGACCAATGACAAGAGGATTGCCTTAGAAATGCAAATAGTGCGAGAAGTGTTATCGGAAACCATTTGCATCAAGTGGGTCCCTCATCCACGAATAATCATAAACAGTTTAATAAAAAGGCATAACAACCTTTTTCCTTTAATTCAGCTTTTGCGCACTAGCATACTAGAGTTAAAAGATACAACTAATACCAACAATAAAAATACGGTAGCTATAAATCGATGTCAATTTAGTGTCAGTTGCGTAAGACATGGATATAATAAATTTTAAGTGTTGTGCAAATTCGTTCGACCGAAGCCCATTCGAGCATCAAATCGCTCGAGGGGCGTATATCCGCGGAAAAACACGAGGGACTCGCGATCTTCCGTTACCACTATATGTAATACACAATGCGAATATTTATTCGATTAAATATTATATTTATATACAATAATTCCTATATTAAAAAATAAATACATATTTAATATTAAATATCATTTTATATATATAAATTATTCTAAAATATTATATCTATGAATATAATTAGTTATATTAAATAAATCAATTTAATTTATCGATATATGTTTTAAAAAAAATAAATAATTTAAAAAAAAAAAAAAAATATTTCCCAATAATTTATATAATTTCTTCATTTCATATTTTAATCATAATAACAATAATAATTTATATATATATATATTATTTTATTTATATAAATTAAATATATAAATTAAATATATAAATTAAATATATAAATTAAATATATAAATTAAATACATAAAATAATATTTATATATATTAATTAATAAAAAAATCAAATATATATTATGTATTTATATATATATTATTTTATATATTTTCTAAAATATAAAGATATAAATCAATAAATCGTAGAAAATATATATTATTAATATATTTAAATATATTAATCTATTTTTTTTATTGGCCTTAGATTGAAATAATCAATAGAATTGATATAAAATGATTGTAAAGGTGGATGAAATCAATTCCCATCGATTTGATAATGTAGGTGTTTTGGATCGTATAAAGTATCGGTGGATGGAAATAAAGGATATCAAAAGAAAGAATATCAAATCCATCATCAATATTCATGAAATATCGATGGATATTAATGCCACCTAATCCGCATGAAATTCTGTGCCAAGAGGGCTGTAGCTCCAACCGGCTTGTTGGCAAATGCGAAAGCTCACCTGGCGTGTGAAAGTATTTGATCATGATGAACCTGCGTGAAAATTATTCCTAGATAGTCAGATATCTCTCGACCAGGCCCATGGAACACTGAAAGCAGCAAACAATCATAATATGTCACGAGCACCAAAACGACCAGTGGGAAATAGATGTTCTCAAGCTTCACGTCCAAAACGGCAAGTGCTTGAGCACAAGCTGAGGTTTCATGCCAGTGGCCCCACTATGTTGCAAATCCCTTGAAAAGTGGAACTGCGGAGCGCAGCACAAGCAGAAAGACTGCCACCAGACTCCAGGACAGACTTTCGCTCGTCTGCGGCGCAGAATATTTGACTTCCTCATGTTGACCATCTTCATCAATCTTCAGCTTGTTTCCAGATGTCCTTCTCAAGACATGGCCAGTGCAGCGGAGAGACTGTCACCGTCCTTCGTCTTCGACGTCCTGGAACTGTGTCACGTCCCCGGACCCGAAATTCGCCTGCTGAAGGCTTGGCATCGGCTCAAACCTCAGAACAGTCCAACAGCGACAGGTCAGACACGTCAGTTGGCCAACCTCTTTGTGCCGGTGTCGAGGGCATGGCGCGTTCCCAACGGAAAGCAACGGGACGGGGGGACGGAAGAAGGTGCGTCCTCTGGCTTCGCGGACCCGTTTTCGGGGTCTTCTCTGAGTCTTTTGACCATTCAACGTACAGTTCTTGAAAAGCCGCTCGAGGCTGGACTCAAAAAGAGACATTCCAACATGGATAAGTTCAGGGTGACCACCTCAATTGACTTTTTCGCTGCAGTCTCTACCGTCTCTACTTGGCCGCCCACATGCTGATGCAGCTTTGGTCTTGGCATCGCACGCAGTGATACTTGTGCCTCGGTGGTACGTCCGCTCCCCCGCTCCCGAAAGCTCTGAGTCGTCACGTGGAAGTCAGCAGAGCGATTGTTGTTCCTTGAATGAAAAGGGCCGCCCGAGACCTCGTTGTTCCTCCCAATAGTGCGGAGCAATTCAAGACTGCCTTTGAACAGATCATTCAAGTAGATACTCTCCTTGATTAAGATATCCCTTGAGATGGTCATAAATCAAGGCGCTCGGCATGCTGCTCGAGGTCAGTACAGTAATGAGCCATCGAAAGAGCCTCTTCATGGGACCTTGACCAATCACTGAAGGATCATGGCGGTTCCCTCATTTTGGCCACGGATGTGCTTGCGGATGCTTGACGGGGTTCAGGTAGAAGGGTAAACATGTGCTGTAGAGACTTTGGAGTCGTTGCATGTTTACACATAGCACCAGCTGGAACCCTGTCCATCCAACCCCCTCCTTGCACTCCAAGTGTCTCGGGAAACATGGACCTTATTGTCGAAGTTGGACAAAATGCTTGGAGGATGGGTTCTGACGTTCTGACGGGTTCTGAGAAATGCGGAACCTTCCATGGTGTCCAACTATATTTTCAAGACTTCAGGCAGGTGGCTGGTTGAAGACTTGTCGGTTCCAGCACCAGGGCGTCGTATCGCTCAGGGTCCTCTGATCGCCACTGGAATCATCAGCGGTGTCTCCACCCGGATGCTACGATGATGCTACCCTTTCAAGAGGAAAACCTAGCGCAAAAAGTTGCGGAAGCTCTCAGAGTTTCGACTGGTCGTGGCAGTTTTCCCTGAATTCATCTCAGGGTCGTCTGGTCAAAGTCTGGAGGCGATATGGAAGGAGAGTTGAAGGAATCGCTCGCAAAGCAGTACGGAGAGTCCAAGGAATCTCAGCTGGTGCCTAATATATAACCCTTCTCAACATGGATGTACATACAAATGTACCAAAGCAGCGGAAAATAGGTTGCTCAAACTAACGAAAGGGACTGCTTTCAAACCACCAGCTCTGCTTAGCTTTGCTGCGCTCTGCTGCGGGTCGACGCACAGCACCACTGAGCGGGTGCCGCTGAGAGCACCCGCACAGCACCACTGTGCTCACCCACTCTAAGTGAATCGCCAATTCTTCGTTTTAAAAAGGACAGACATCAACAAACTTTCACTGTTTCTAAAGAAGAAATAGAATCATGTATACAAAATCAAAATGATAGACTTACACGAATCCAGTCTTGGAATGACAGACTTTCACCATACAAAATCCAGTCTTGGAATCTCCAAAGTTTCAGAACATGTCATTGTCCTGGCCCCTCCCCTCCAAAGAACCTTTCAAAACGCAAGAAAAGGGTTGGTGAAACACACAGCTTGATCGCTGAAACGTCACGCGAAACGCTGGCTGTTTGAGGGTCAATGTCACTTGAGGGAGGTATAGTAGTAAGTAGTATTGCTCACTGATCCGACGACCAGTGACCAGTGGTTCTGCGGATTACTTGAGCTGCCTCTATCCTTCAAAACCCATCTGTAGCTGACTTCCTCCAAACCTGCGACATCCTCACGTTTCTTCGACACAACCTGCGGCATCTTTCCTGGGTGGCCACTGGAGCATCCAGGCTGTCACACAAAGGAGCACCACGGCACCTGCTGTTCAGCAACATGGGAAGAAGTACACCCGACAGGCCCTCAAAAGGAGAAGGGAGAGTGTTCAATCATCGTGCAGCTGAAACTGTTCCTAATCTGTTCAGAAGGAGTTGATCTTTTGCTGGTTGGAACAACCACAGGATGAGAGGTTGCGAGATGCAAAAAATGTGTGGGATAAACAAACCCAGTTGTTACTGTCGTTTGGCAGTGAAAGCTCCATCACCTTCACCACATCCACGATATTCCACGATGCTCATGTTCGTGCCTATGCTGGCCAGCACCGCCTGCAGGATTCTCTCACCTCGCAGCCTGGGAAGGGTATTTGGTGTGAAGAAGCAGAATCTTCAAATGGGCGGATTCCATTGTATGGTCACAAGTCCCCAACATCACGCTGCTTCTCAAGGGCAAGGGGCGGTGTGGAGCCTCGCTGGATCGTGAGAGAGGAACCCCAAAACAACTGGAGAGAGCTCAATATTTGGCTTGGAAAGCTGTCAATACTTGGCATCCTATTTATGATCTTCCTGTGCCGAGGAAGAGCTCAGAACACGACTGAACGCGAGCCGGCTGGACGGCTGGACTTCACATGGCAGACGTGTGGTTGGGGAAACTCCCTGAACTACCTGTTGTGTCTCTTCCCCCGAAGCAAGTGGCCACTGCAGCCAGGAGGCGTCTTCGCATGTTGTTGCGCTTCCTCTTCATCCAGATTCCGGCCCATCAACACTCCTTGGGGTGGCAGGGGTTCAGGGGTGGTTGATCCAGGAAGGCAGATCAGCAGAAAAAGATGTCTGATACCCCATGGTACCCTTGTGGTTGCATTCAAAAGGGATGAGGCTTTCCGAACAGGGTCCAAGCTCCAGTCAATTTCAGAATACCTCTGCAATGATGTGCTCTCTTCATCATGAAGACAGCGAGGTCAGGCTTAGAGTTCGATTTTCGTTGCGCACGGATGTGGGGCGCTCCAACCATCGGGTGCCATGTGTTTCCATCCGTTAGTGCCATCGAAACCCAATGGACACGTGGACCTCCCGGCTTCGGTCATGTCGACGATGAGTTACTACGCCTGCCGAGACACCCAGGACTACACCACTGGCATAGCCTGCTTTTCGTGGCGCTGAGTTACTGTGGGTGGAACCAGTCCAGCACGGGTGGAACGAATGGGTCAGATCTTCATTTATTCTTGACCATCCCACTGTGACATAGACCTGCCAGTGTGTGGCCACCTTGCCTGTTTGGGAATGTCTCCATGTTCCACCTATACATATATATATATATATATATGTAGTCTACTAGTATATGCATACATAGATAATTATTCATATTCAGAACATGAGCACAACTTGCGGTCTCTCAGACTAGAATTCGTGACTCTGCCTTCCGGAGCATAGCTCTTTTGCTCCATTGGGGTTCCTTTTCCTCCAACCTCCAAAAAACACCCGTTCCGCATCTTCTTCCCCGCCTCCGAAATGGGCCGAATGGCCTTAGAAAGAGGTGAGGTCGATCCTTGACACATGCAGAAGAAGCTAAGTCGACCCGGTTTACAAAACCCCGGCCAGGCCCAGTCCCTAGTGTTTCCTCTCATGAAGAAGCACCAAACAGAAAAGTTATACGGAAAGCTGAAGCACTAAGCTAAGGCCTGCCTGCAAGGGTATTTATATCTATGTAGCTCTTACGTGCTTATACCCGCTAAGGCCTACTTCTGTACATTTGATGGTGAAATCATCATCCACTTATGTACATCTGATTTCATTATTTTCTTGTGTCTTTGCCTTCCATCCTCTTGCCTGGTATGTTTCTGGAAGCACTCGTTGGCAATCCATCACCCCCCACCCCATGCACACATCTCCCAGTCGCTTGTCTCATTGTCTGGAGAAGCACTCACATACGCCTTAGGCGCCATCAGCGCAGTGTGGGAATCCACCGGTGTTTCCAGGAGAAAACCCGGGAATTCTTCGAAGGGCCTCTTGGGCGAGCCGCGGGAACTCAGCTTTCGCATTGTCACAACCGACCAGGAGGGACCGCAACCAGGACAGTGCCGAATGCGTCACGGCGGCTCCGGTGCATTTGAGGGGCAAAGGCTAAATCCAACACAAAGAGCATCAGCAGCACCAACAGCTCCGGGCGTCGATAACCTGCGACGGCGCCAGCAAAGGAGGTAGTGGAGCCCAACGTGGTCACGGTTCAGAGCGGATTGAAGAAACACCCGTAGCCATGGTTGGCATGTTCAAGCGAGGACCTGTTCGCCCGTTCCATCTTTCCAACAACTGGGAGTGGTCTTGACCGAAACCCAGGGGTGTACACCAGGGTAGTGCAATGCATCGCATTACATAGAAACTGTATCGAAAGTTGAGTCTTGTGTCCATGAGTATCTGAACCAGTCTGAGGTAGTACACCACATCCTTCATCGTGCATGCACAATCATCTTTGGAGTTACAAAACTACAGGGCGGCCGTCGAATCCCGTCCGAACAACCAAGCTTGGCTCTAAACAACCAAGAACGGTTATATAGAAGACCTTAAAAAAGGACCCGTAACCTGGGGTACAGTATAAGGAATAGTCCTGTCTGGGACCCTTCCGAAGACGAAAGAAAGGCGTTTCGTCAGGCCAAGCAGCGGGTATCGTGCCAGTTCAGGATTAGTGACTCAGCCAGGCTCCGGAGAGGAACCCGTCGCAGCGGTGAGAGGTGAGGATGTTGAGGGAAGTGGTGCAAGAGCACCGCGGCGTCGAATTCACAGTCTAGTTATATCAGTCTGCCTGTTACTGAAAAGAGCTGATTACACTGAAACCCCGGAACATGTATAAGATTGTATAAACTTCAGATCGACCTGCCTTTGATTCTTTTGGGCCTGAAGTTCCACAGGGCAGTCACGCAATGACTTCACCAAGAATACTCCATCCAACCAAAAGGAGTACACCGATGTTCAAAGAGCCTAACCGTCCCAACACCTGCCTCTGGAACCAGGGAGATGACAGAGATGACAGAGGCGGAACGACCCGTCCAAGGAACTCCGAAGGTCATGCCCATCAAGGCGTAGACCCCTCCAGACATGCCTGGCACGCCAACGCCATTGATTAGAAAGGATTGCTTCACGCTTCAGTAACAATACCTGGGAATACCTGGGGCCAAAGATGAGCTTCAAATCGCTCGGCAAGGATCCTGGACCACGTGAGCAAAACCACCATACTTTTCTACACACAAATACTTATATATCTTATATACCCCAGATAGCAAAAGGCATGTATTAAAAGATCTTTGTGGGCAGCACCATAGCGGATCCAGCAACCAGGCTCCAAAGCTCACACAGCCAGACATCTGGCAGCAGCACCCTGTAGCGGCACCAGCACCCAGGCTTCAAAGCGCGCACAGGCACCACTTCCTGTACTTGAAGTAAGAACCCCATTTCACCAGCATAGACCCCAGATAGCTAGGCAGAATTCAACGACCCAAAAAAGTCAAGTTCTGTAGCTGTTGACACGGCTGGACGCAACTAGAACGTATATGCAGTCAGCCCGGCCAGCCCACAGCACCCAGCACCAGCACCAACACCCTGTCTCCAAAACGCGCACAACCAGCTGACACCAGCACCGACACCGTGTCTCAACTACGCGCACAGCCAGCTCACAAACACCAGCACCGGCACAAGCCGACAACCTATCTCGAAAGCACCTCATTCTTATTTGAAGATCTGGAGAAATCGCTCGCGCTCTCCGGGGAACAATGAGTAGAATGCTCAATCGGACAAATGCTCACCTACCGTTTCGCAAGCTGCTCATCCCCCCAATTCATCAAGAGAAAACCCACCACCTCCGAGGTTTTTGCAGAACAAATCATCGTTCCTCACGGCTGATCAGATAGGTCCGCCTTCTGGCAACCTACTTGATGCTGTGCCGCTCGGTGATCGGAGTAGCCGGCTTCACTCGAAGCACGGTCCGACCGGCGACCGATCGGCCCGATCGGCCCGATCGGTGACGGTGTCCTGCCTATGAGGCTGGCGTGCCCATCGATGACGGCCTCATGCACCGGCGACCAAACGAGTAGGATGCACCGAGTAGTGGCATCACTAAAGTGGCCAAAGTGTTTCCAAGGAAATCCTGGTAAACTCCATGCTCATCCATGTTCTGGGTAGTCTGTGCTGGCAGGTCTGTGCTTGCTTGTTAGAACAGCAAACAAGAATAGTTTGGTTTAGGGATGTGCAGCCCAAGTCTGCAACAAGAGGATCACGAAAAGATTCCAGGCATCCGCTTGCCGATTCGCACCCATTCTACTTTCCAGTTTGTCAACCAGTGAGACTTGGGTGATACACTGTCACTTTGCCGGCCCGTCTGAAATTCTCAATCGCCGTGCGAAAACAAGGCTACGACATCGGTCGCTGGTCGTTGGTGACCGATGTCGCACCCGACGACGGCGCGGGCGAAGCAACGCTGTCAGGGGACAAAGTTGAATGCAGCGCAAATGACGCCAAGGTTGAAAATGACCTGCAGCGGCGGCTACAGGACCTGATACTGCCCAAATCTGTCTTTAAAACTCTCTAAAACCAGATAGCTCGTCCAACTGATGGAATCTGTGACTAAGGATTCTCTTTCAAGCACCGCAAAGAGATTGGGGTTGAAAAATAACCGTAGTGCGCCAGAAACGCTTCGAAACACAGCATACGCTTTTCCAACCTCATAAGAGTTGTAGTAAAGCTGATATGTCTGTATGGATCTGTCTATCTGTGTTGCCTTCAGCTAACGCTAGCTCGATCATCAGCCATTCAGCCAGCTTTAGTACTCGATATATATATATATATATATACATGCAGACTTTGTTTGGTGAGCACGCCATTCTTCTGCTGATTCCTGTTGAGTTCCGTTTGGAGACTGGTGCTGGTGGTGGCCACCGGTGGTCTGGGAACCTCACCCTGCAGCTGCTGTCAAGAGGCACACGTCCTCCAATGGCCATGATACATCTCCAAGCGAATGCCAACCATCAGGATCATGACCACATTCAGGATGATATGCCTCAACATGGTCCCACCAAACGAAACAAAGTTGACATCGTCCAAGCATCAGCAAATCTATCCAGAAACAAAGGTTCACCTGGGTGTCTTTTGGCCCCGCTGAATTGGTCATAGGATGATGCAGTATCGTTCGTGCCTTTGTCACATCACTTCGCTCCTTTGGCGAAAGATCCAAGGTAAATCTCCAAAAAGCTCTGGTAGTCTGGTAAAATTCATAAAATCTCCAAAGTACCCCCAAAATAACCATCCACCACCAGCGTTCTTTCCGCGAACTCTCCGCGCGGAATAACGCGGCAACCCGCGCGGAGAGTTACGCGGAATATCTCGGCATCGCTTCGTGGAGCGACAGGACGCGGAGCGAAGGAGCCAAGGGGCGACAAGCCGAAGTGGGTGTACCTCGGTGCACTGTTGCACTAGCGCCCAAAGCCAGTGGGTTTTTCGGTGGCCCCTTCGCCCATGGTGAAATGGGGTGGGCCAGTGCAAGGAGAAGAGAAACCCTCAGTGGTCCAGTCCAAAGCATCCTGAATTCATTCACTTCAAGGCTTCATCTCTTGGGCATTTACCTGTATTGGCTTCTATGTGATATAGGCTGTGGAACTCAAAAGCCATCTGGACCTGTAGCACCAAATCCACAAACCCCCAGTTCGTCTTGCACAAGGGGCTGGTAAGTCAACCATCGCCAGATCTGCCATCGCAAATCTTCGCAGTCCTCACCGACCAGACTTCTGTCCGTCAACACGCGAGGCTCGGGCTTTGCAGGTGATTGATAGGTGATCATGACCCTCACGGCCTGGCCTTGTGATGCAAATGTGCTATAAAGCAGGATCCTATTCATAGGAAAACGAGAAAGTGAACATCAATCACGCAAAGAAGTGCTCTCATGATTGTTGATACAGAACAAAAAATGCCTATAGTGTGTACACAAGTGTCTTGGATGACATGAGTAAAACAATGCACTTCTGACAACTCGATAAATTTAACTGCTTCAAGAATTGAGCATCAGTGCCTTATGTGTGGCCATATTTGTCCGCCCAGGAAGTAGCGTATCCAACCCTGCTTTCGCAGAGAGAATCCTTGGCGCGCTGCCGACCAAATGGAACAAGATTCTACCCATCATGTTCTTACAGTCCAAAACATATTCATGCAATCAAACCCACAAACGTCACATCCTGCCGAGCGTCTCTCTCTCCTGGCTCGCGCCCATCACCTCGCTCGCCAAACCCCCAGGAGGGGCGCGCAGGAAACCCCTGGGAGTTGGTTCTGCTTGATGGAGACCACGTAGATTCTACAGTCTTGGGGTGTAGTTCCCCTACATAAACCCCAGACATTCCATAGGGTTAGGTGTAGTTCCCCTACATAAACCCTAGTCTTGGGGTGTAGTTCCCCTACATTAACCAATCGCCATGTTCTGCTGGATGAAGATCGTTCCAGAAGAAGCGCCAACGGAGCCAAGCAGCCCAAAGGCTCAACGCCAGAAGCGCCTGCAGCAGGATGAAGATCGGCCTCGGGGAGCCAATGATTTAAAATGCAACATCTTCTGAGAGACATGCAGACTTTGGGCCTATCCAATTACCAGTACTAGTAATCAGTAATAGTAGATGATGATTGTTAGGTTGTAGGCCTTGTTCAAAAATAGTGATAATTGTGTACTGACTGTTACAGGTAAGTTCGGACAAACCGAACGTAGACTCTTGATTTTCCAGAACCTATTGCCCTCGTCTTGTCCTAGTGCCAATAAATCAACGAAAACGCGAGGGGGCAACGATGCGCCGATACGCCGATGCGCCCCAGTGCTCCAGCGTGGCACCACGCTGCAAGGCGTCGACCGGTCGCTTCCACCGCTCCACTCGATCCTCGACCGGTCGCCCCACACCATGGGTTCCACCCCGTCGCCCGGTGCCGTGTGGCCAGTAGTCGTGCTCTTCTTCGGTCGCTTTGCCGGTCACCGTCCTCGGAAGCTCGGCTGGTTCATGCAGGGATGAAGAGGATCAAGTTGCGAAAACACTAAAAACAGAAACAGGCGTGCTGACTGTCAGGTGAGGGTGGGTGTGCAGGGGGCAGAGTCTATAGGGAGCAATCAATTGGATCGATAGGCTGCCAAGCACTAAGCATTTTCCGATCGGCACCCGGCCCGACACTTGGACAGGCTCTGTGTGTGAATCACAGATTCCCAAACTCACATCGGACGATGCTGAGCGTGAAGTTCTCAAACTGCATTCGACCAAACCACGACAAACCAAGTACCCCAACTCACCGTCCTTAGACCAAATCACGGTGCCCAACATCGGGGAACTCTCTCTCTCTCTCTCCCCCTCTCCAAACGAAACTTCCTGCGAACCAGCTGCGAGGACAGCATCTCGTGCCCGTGCGCGCTCGCTGCGCCCCTGGGTGTCAAGGAGACCGCCTACACATCCGGGCGCGCGCGCGCGCGAACACGACGGCGTCTCGGCCTCTTTGCAGGTTGGAGCGTTTCGGTCCAAGATGGTCACCGTTCCGAGACCGTCCATGTATGGAATAGTTACTTGATGTTACTTACGTCATAACTGGGTAAATGTATGCATCCATTCCACATGGATCTGAGATTCTGAAAGCCTCCCTGATCGTGCAAATCTCTCCAGCCTCTCTGCGAATCTCAGAGTCTGCTGGCGGACTCTGGGCCTCCAAGGCTTCATCACCTGGGGCGAAGACTCAGTGACGGTCAGCAGGCTGTCCATTGTTTTTGTAATCTTTTGCCTACATGTGCACTAGATGCTGCAGACGTGTGGAGTCACCTATGAGAACTTAACTCCGCGCCTCATAGATCCGTGTGGTCCCGGAGCCTGCGGAGTCCTGCACCGCTCTGAGGATCCTCACCAGAAGCCGTTGGTCTCCTCTGAAAGCGCTTCTGAAGCCGTTGGAGCCGAGCTCGCCGGCAGGCACGCCTCCGATTTCGCGGGTCAAAAAAGGGCGAAAGGGAGAGACAAGGCGGAAAGAGAATCAGAGATCAATGATAGATCTTATGAATCTTGTCCCATCTTCGCTCTCGTTCACCTGAGTTTCCACCTTTGGGATCCTCATCCGGGCATCCTGGCCGGTCCAGTGGCCGGCCGGTGAAGAAGTGCCGCGCCAAACGGGCGCGGAGCATCTCCAAGTCGTCCCGGTCCACGTCGTCGTCATGGTCCTTGCAGCCCGGGTGACCCTCCCAACGGAAACAGGCTCCAAATGATCCAAATGGAGGGGATGAGTTGAGATTTTTTTTTTTGCATTCACAAAAATTGCACAAGAGTCTTCTGCAAAAACTGGAAACATCTCAAAAGCGCAGTCAGTTGGTGTGGCTGGCTAAAACCTTGGGGCATCCGCGATGTTCAAGCGAAACCAGCAGGATCCAGTTTTCCAACCCAACCGCCTTTCTCGTTTGGGGGGGCAACCCTTCTCTGCGCCAAATCCATTATCAGGAAAATCCCGATGGCTGGGACTTCCACACAGCTTTGGTGCGCTTTCATCTCACCCAACCGCCCCAAAGCTTTCGCGCCCCAGACTTCCACCCAGCTCGGGCGGTCCGCATCCAAAAAGTGCCTCGGCGATCGGTCGAGTCGGCGCCTTCCATCGCGCCTTCCGCATCGGTGGAGGAACGCATGTTGGAGCGCGATTTGGTGGGTCCAAAGCTGGAGCGAACTCAGGAAGTTTTTAGGTTGACCATGGTCTGGTAAGTCCATTCTGTTTATGTTCGGGAAAAAGCTAGCTTTGCCATTTGTTCATCACTCCCAGACGCCTAGACCCGCCAGGAAAACCACCGAATGGGCTACATCCGGGTCCCAAAAGGATCCGTTCAGGTCGAGAAGGCTGACAGCGACCTGTTACTAGTTGCTAGTAACGCCAGGAGCTACTAGTAGCGTCCGTGCTCCGTTCGTAGCGATGCACCTTGTTACTAGTGGCATTCTTGCTACTAAGTGATGTTTGTTTTGAACCCCCCGTCATTCAACCCTGTAGGAGCAGCAGTAGCAGGTCCGCGAGAACTGATGCATCACGCGGAACTGGTGCATCGCTGCAGATTGACAAAACTGAAGAAAATGAGGAAATGGATCTTGTTTGCAGAAAGAAGATGAGAGGTTTTCAGATGCTTATTCAAGTATGCTAGGAGAACGAAGCATCCACTTTGAGAAGCGAACAATTCGTTGCAGTGCGCAAACCGAGTTGAAAAGAATTGAAAAACTAACCACTCATCTGTTGCAACTGATGCAATCCCCGCACTGTCCGCGACTGTCCTCTCGATGAAGAAAAAACCATTCTCTTCCACAAACCAAACGAAAACTCTGCCCTGTTCTCACGCCACAACCTCCTCCCTGCGTTGCCGGGCCACAGCCAAACCCGTCGGCAGCCCCAAGCACCGGGCGCAGCTTCGGCGCCTGCGGGGGAAACGGCACGGTGCAACGTGCGACTGGGCGGTTGAAACAAAGAAGAGCAGGCCAGGCCGTGCTTGGCGGCGGTGCCTCTCAGCAAACAGGCATAGAGGGTGTTTCTTTTCTTGAAGAGGGGAGGCTGAACTCATCTGGTTGGTGGTTTCAACTCACTTGAATTAGTCAGCGGGCTCAATCATTCCATGCCAAGTGAAGGTTGAAAATAAAGGATCTGAAACAACAATCCACCCAGTTCTCTGATTTCCACTCCTTTTTGCGCACCTTCCGGAGCCACCCGCGCCATGAGCACATGGATGTGGACGAATTCGGTGAATTCCAGTTTCTGTGGAGAAGAACCCTCCCGTTTGGCCCAGTTGTCAAGCATTTCGAGAAAGCAAAGGTGGATGTTTCACTTGGGCAAGTCTCGACTGGGAGTCTCGACTGGGAAGGGGGTGGATGTCGTTTTGGGGTGTCGTTCTGCGACCAATGGCAGAGGTGCTGAAATTCACCGCACTGGGAATCCTCTCGTTTCTCTTGGGTTATCTTGGGTTCTATATATACAGGTAGCTGGTGTGGTTGCAGGTGCACAAATGAAGTGAAATCCGCCAACCTTAAAAATCGGCTGCTGCCAGGATTTTTGTTGACTGTACCTCTTATTTGATCTTATTTGTACAAGTTGCTGTTAGTCCAAGCTCCTCTTTGGCTAATTTGCAGGTGGCTCAGCATGCACGGGAGCAATTGAGGGCTTGAGGTGTCATTTAGGAGATGTCCCGGTTGATTCCCTCTGTCAAACATTGCTGGAGCTTGTCAACAAATTCTTTGATCTGCTGCCTATACAAAAGGATTCTTTCGGAGTTATTTCAAGTTATTTCAGCTATCTGTGGAGCCAGAAACAGCAGGCAGACTGCAGGCTGGGGTGCAAAAATCTGCAGCATCCTGCTTGTCCAGCCCGTAGTGCACACCTCTTAGAATCACTTTGGTTGGCCAACGCAACCTCATCTCTCTGTTGTTTCACACCTTGTGGGCTTGGAACCCTGGGACTGTTGGGCAAACCACATGATGCACGGAACGCTTGTCGCACCTCGCTTGGGCAGCCATGTCGCACGACCGGAAAGAAGATTCTCAATCGTTCCAACCCATGTCGAGTCCTGCCGGCTTCCAACACTTCAGCCAAATCTTAACCGACCAGCGGCTTGGATTCATCCTGAAAGCTCAAGCTAAAGCCACGTCTGCCACAGCACCTGCATGTTCTACTTGAGTAAGCCACAACAATACGCAGAGCTAGGCATAGCTTGACAGCTCTGCTTAAGTTGGTCTTGGAAAACTTAAAATGATCGGGGAATTGCCACAACATGCCGCATCACCTCAGAACCCCAAATGCGGCACAAATGGAACCCAGCGTGTTCAACCCAGCACGTTCAGGAACCACAGCTACGACGCGATTGCGAGGGCTTTGTCTGTTTTCCACCGGGTCATTGAGCAGGCGATTGCTGAGCAAATAGTACATGGGCACTTTGCCACCTTGAGTCTTCTTTGCTCGCAATCCATGTGCCAGAGACAGTCTCAACCGTCAGGCTTTCCAGTCAACCGGGCCTTGACGACACAATGTTCGTTTCAAGAAGCCTAGCAGGACTTGCCATCCGTTGACCCACGGATTCTCCCATCCGTTGACAGCAATGCTGTCATCGCATGCACGAGTACCTGCCAATCCAGTGCGAGCTGGGAGTAAATGAGCATCTGGCCCAGAAAAATACAAAAAAACACTTTACTATATACACCCTGGAAGTCAAAGACTATAAAAAGAATTGTCTTTAGGGGAACTGAAAGGGAACTTCCTTTACTCCAGCCAGTCAAAATATAGTCTTTGGGCTTCTAGGGTACATACACAAGGTTGAGCATTGAGAATCACTAAATCAGAATCATTCGAGATCTTGCCCACAGCCTCCAGCCCCAGGAATTGAATGATGCACGATGCACATCCTTGGCCTGAGCCAAAACAGGTGCGCAGGACCCTTTTATACTCAGCTGCACAGGTTGCGAATAGCATTCAAAACAACATCTGATGGAAGTCTATCCATGTTGTTTCTGGGGAAAGGGACGCCAGGCGTCATGACCATCCTCCCTGCACTGCATTGTTCTTATGTTCTTATTGTATGTCTTCTGCAATTAATATTAATGTCCTCTTACAAGCCGTCAAGAATAAGCAGATATTAATCAATATGATTATAAATACACAACAAGCTCAAAAAAGTGGGCAACAAATCAATGACCTTGTCGCTTCACTCTTTTCTTAGCATTTAGGAACAAAACTCCACACTTTTCGTGTCAGGCTTTGCACATAGTTGCGAAGCAAAGAAGCCGCCGGGCCGGGCAACGACTTCACGGGTCGTGGAGGCACTTCAACGACTGGCCGACTGCGACCTGAGTCTGATGGCCAAGTCAGACGCATGTTTAAACAAAGGTTCGGCTGCTCGTTTCATATCCAAATTGTGGTTTGATAGATTCGGGGATCAGGGATCTATTTGGTCAAGATATTCCTTGATGCAAACCCACCCGGCAGGGCCTTCATGTGACGGGACACACTGGTGGCCCATGGAGTGAAAATGGAGCCTCTACCAACACAAGGTTGTCCACTTAAAACGTTAGTGAGACAAGGAGAGTACCTTCTTTGTCCGTGGCGCCGTGGCAGCCTCTCACTCCCCGCACCTTTTTCACATCGACACCTTGACAGGATGAAGCCGCAAAGCAGAACACCGAGCTGGACCAAACACTAAACGCACCAAAAAGTATTAAAACACAAATGGAAGGCCGGGAAAGAATACCAACGGAGTCTCTTGACTGCTGCCTGTTTCTGGTGTTTCTTCGCCTGATCCAAGGAAGGGAGATCTTTCGTTCGCGCAGCAGCAAGGCGTGGGGAAAAACCTTCCCTGACTTCGCTCTCGCGCTCGCGCGCTCTCGTCGACACGGTCCACGCCAGATCCGCCCACAGACGGGAGTCCCGTCATATTCCTGGTTCTCATCTCATTCGATTTCTCCAGGAATCATTTGGGTGTGAGATATCACGAGACACCCGCATTGGCCCAAGAGGTTGACATATCAACATGGTTGCTTTTAAGACAAAGACATGCTCGGGCTTGGTGCAGATGCTGGCATGCTCAAGCATGCTCAAACTGATATTGAACAATCGTCTTTTATGGTACACCCACACTGACAAGCATTGGGATGAGACTGAGCCGTTGGGGGCTTGAAATATTGTGCAAGTGCCAGGACATGGTACCCATGTTGGCACATTGAGGACTATATGGAACTCTGCAACACCTCCTCTCATATGACATCTTTTGACATTCCAACTTAGGGTATCTGTCACTACGGTCGCAACCCCTGGTCTCGTGATTGTAAAACAGCGTGAAGCGACTTGTTTTGCGCTGTGTCTTTGTGCCCGTCTGAACACGTGGTTTGAGCATCCGCTTCATAAGTTCTTTTTGGTCATCGCAAATCATCCCTTTCACATGTTCATTGTGATCTGTCATGTTCATGTGATGAAACCCACAAAGGTGATGCGTGGATGTGGTGGTGACGGGTGGTACTTGCTTCCAATTCTCTTCTGCTTCCCAAAAAACTCTGAAAAACGAAACGCGTTTTGAAGAGAAGAAAAGGAACACGCCAAAACCTGTTTTCCCATGCCGATTTCTTGGTCGACTCTCAAAGACTATGCCGGACCCCGTGGGCGGACGACCGTGGACCGTGG